ATTTTAACTAATTGGGCTTCCATAGATTTGGTAATTATTTACATGCACATGAAAGACCAGCAATCGAACAGGTTTTTGCTTGAATGTAAGATCTACTTGGCAGCTGTTGTTCTTATGCGAATAATATCAAACATTGTCCCACATCAGATCATGATGTGCCTCTCACGGTGATAATGGGCAAGTGAATCAATCAGCGTCTGGTCTGCAAGTTTTATGAGGCTCGTTATATGTTCACTGCTGTTGCATTAGCCGAAAACTATTATTATGTATCGGGTGTTGGTTCGTTGATCGAGTTTGACTTGATCTATTTATCTGATCAGTATAAGAGGCCATTCACTTGCTTCATGACAGTTCTCTTAACTTTGTTGCATAGTTGGACCAAATAATCTGGTGAAATCAAGAGAATGAGCTTGATTATATTCTGATTACGAGTGAAACGGAAGATAAAAGAAAAGATCAGTTGTGAAATATAATCATGGGTTAAATAGAATTTGGTAAAAGTTGTGGGGACTTTGGAGAAAGGCAAGAGAGAGGAAGAAACCTGCTGCTTGTATCACCGTCGTTTTGGATTCCAAGATCAACCTGCTGTCGCTGCACTCACTGTGTGCGTCTGAGTTTCAGACGGTATTTAGTTAGAGGAGTAAGTTGTGATCTGAGCTTTGCCAATGTGTTCGAGTGCATCATTACTGTCTTTTGTATCGGCAATAACATGTTCCTGAAAGAACAGAGGTGTCTGTTGCTGAGGAAAACAGAACAAAATAATAAAATCTTTACACTTGAAACCTTCAGTCTGCTTTCATGCATGTTTCTTTCTAGTGTTTCCTGATCTCAACACGGGCTTGGAATCACGTTTGTTATGATTTATTTATAAAAGTAAATGTGTAATCCTGAGACCGTCACTGTTTGATAAGTTGGTTTGTTTTTGGCATGTTGGAGGTTAGCATCATTGGAGAATGGCTGTTATTGTTTTATAAATAATCGATAGTCATGTTATAACAGGTTTCAATAGCACCTGATAAACAAACTCTTTAAAGATTTATGAATCGAGTCTGGTTCCCCAATCTCCCCCTGGAAAAATAGTTTAGTTTTGAAATAATTGAAATCACAGAGAAAGAAGTGGTATTATGACGTGTTAGTTTTTAAAAAGAGATTTGAATTGATTTGAATGTTCTTCTTCACTGAATCGCCCACGTCAACAATAACAGTAAAGCAGAGACAAATAAAAATCTGTCCAGTTGATTTACTGCGTGCAGGAGACAGGGTGACAAATAAAACATCTGCTGTCATATTAAATAAGAGGGTGATGTCTCCTCTGCAGGGATGAGACACTCATGACTTCTTCTTCATCTTCTCACTGTGCAGCTCCACTCTGCTGCCGCCTTCACGCACTGTGGGAATATCTGTCACAGCACATCCTGGTATTAAAACAAAAAAACTGTCCAGATGCCACCAAAGAGCAAGGTCAGAATAAACAAAGAAAAAAAGTCATAACGTTACGTGAATAAAGTTTTTTATTTTGTTCAGGAAAAAAGCAGCAAAGAGAACTCAATGTGTGTGTGAGTATTGTGTTATTTGTAAAACCTGCATTAAAGTGTGTCTTCACAGGATGATCATTTTAACACAGGTTGATCTTGAAATGTTTCCTCAATGAAATGACATGTTTCCTAAAATTATGACTTTATTCTCTTAATGTACAATTTTCTTTTCTCGTAATATGACTTCACGCTTGTAAAAGTTCAACTTTTTCTTGGCAAATTACTTTATTCTCGTAATTTTACTTTTACTGTTTTCCCTCATAACAATATATTCATCGACACTTTTCACTGTGCTGTTGTTAACTTGCATAATATGACAATTAAAACTTGAAAACTTGGAACTTCTGCTGGTATTCGAAGTTGGTTAAAAAAAAATCTGAGCTTTGCCTCGGGTGCGTGAACGCATCGTGAATCTTTTGACAGCCAATGGCGGGGGGCGGTGCCGCGTGACGTCAGGGGGTGGAAGAAAACAGCAGAGCAGGAATCAAAACAAGAGACGGACACGCCCTCACGGAGACACAGACACAGAGACAGACACGGGGGAGACAGACAGGGACAGTGAGACAGGCAGGGACACAGAGACAGGCAGGGACACTGAGCTTGTAACCGCTTACTGCATCTTCTTCTGCCGCCACGGCTGCACAGAGACCCGCAACAGCCGCTGCGCTAATGGAGTCCACAGACGTGTCCCGCCGCGGCCGCTCGTAGAGGTCGAGAAGCAGCCGGAGTCCCGCACGATGCCCAACCAGAAGAGCAGCAAGGGGAAGCGGAGCAGGAGAACCAACAGCAGCGGGGACGAGCAGGAAAATGGAGCCTGTGCGGCGGCGGCGGCGGCGGCAGCGGCGGCGGTGGCTGCGGGAGCGGCAGCGGGAGCCGGAGGAGCGGCGGCCGCGGCGGCTGCAGCTGCGCCCAGGAGCGAGCGCTCGAGCGGTGAGAAGCGGAGGGGGGTGGGGGGGGTGGAGAGGCTCCGGGGACGTGGGGAAGTTTTAGGGCAGCGGTGCCTCCTTCCTTCCCGCCGGAGGAAGCCCCCGGTGGTGTCCGTGACATCCGTGCACTGCGACGTAGCTGCTGGAGACACCACCCGCACCAAACTTCTATTAGAGACGTCGCTGTTTTTACCGCCGCCTCCATTATCTCCACCTGCAGGCTGCACGGGTCCATCACGACCGAAGGCCCCGCACGAGTTGGTGGTTATTCGTTCACGTCGTTGGTGTTGCGGTGAACCAGCAAGTAGCCGGTGCCCAACCGCACCGAAATCCACGTTAATGTGATTGATTGGCGCTGATTTTGACGCGCAGTGTGTTGTGTTTTGGCCCAAGAAAATCACGGGAGCAGCAGGTAAAGAAGCTAAAATGGCATTGAAGCAGGTGATGTTTGGTGCGTTTAAAGGTAGCCGAGTTACACAGCGCCTCGTGTTCTTTCTTTTAACACGTGAAATCATGGCTGAATATGATTTACTACTTCCCAGTGAGCAGGCAATCCTTAAATTGTAGAAATTGTTAATGGAGTTTGGTTCTCCAAGTATAAGGGTTATCCCATATGGAAATAATAACCCTTGTTGTCAAACGTGCAGCATCAGTGTTTACATCCACGCTGATGCTCGATGGCTGCAGCATGTAGTGTGCAGGCCTCAGCTTTTACTGTTTCCTTATCCTCTCAGTTTTTGGTTGTGGCCTTCCTCCTCCTCCTCAATGGTAATACTTACACCTCACCGCTTGTCTGCGCACTCAAGTTCAACTTCATCCCAAACAGACTTCAAATACTGAGAGAAAGTCTCCCTGCTGTCCTCCTCCTCCTCTGATTATTATTATAAATATGGTTTTAAACTTTATTTTTAAAAACCTCCTCTTATTTCATGGACTCTATATTAAGCGAATATAAATACAGTCTATGATGCAAACTGTGGATGTGGTGCAGAATTACAGGCCTAGTCTACTTATTACATATTATTATGATAAGACTGCTACAACCAGGCCAAAGTAAACACAAATCAGTGCATTTCTCTTATTTTACAGTTGAAGTCATAGAGATATTATCATAATGTAGGTTGGCTAACTACTAGTTACAATACTAATAATAATTAGATGTTTCAAATATATATATATATCAATAACATCACTATGAAGCAGTGCTGAAAAAGTCAAACAATTGGTTCTTAATGAAGCGAAAACTAATTGTCAACCATTTTCTATTAATTGTCTTTAGTATTTGATGGTTGCAGCCTCTCGAATGTGACGATTCCCTGCTTCCCGGCTCTGGAAAGTCGTGATGAGCATCTGTCGCCAGCAATTAACTGAGCGATTCATATAATCAATAATCAGATGATAAGAGCAGTTGCAGCCTTGGATGAAATGCAAATAAATCTACTTTTCAGGAGCATAAATTATGTAAAAGAGAATTTAAAACCGTCAGAGATTTTCTCCCAGGTTTCATTCATGCCGATGTGTGAATTCAGTGCAGCACTTTCTCAAGTTTTTTCTCCCCCTCCATTGTATGAAAGCACAGAGAGTGCACAGGAAGAGGAAGGAGGAAACTACCCCCACAGAGTATTATCATCAGCTGCCGCTTGTGCCGACTGTGTGCCCACATTTGCTTGATTCACATCCAGACTTGAGAATTGGCGAGGCTTGAATAGAGCTGCTCACAGGCTTCAATGGCCTAGTTCAATTTCATAAATCGATGGCAGCGAGGCAGAAAAGACACTGGAGTCACTCTCTTTGACTATTAATCTCCTCTGGTGTGGTCAGGATGGGAATGATGTTGATGATGTAACTTCTGATGGAGACACATTTTGGCTCTAATGCTGCTCTAAGACAATAATCCATTATTTGATTTGTCAGTTTACAGAAAATGTTCATTACAGATTATTATTATTTTCCCAGTCAACAGGTTCATTTGTTGGGTCACAAAATGTCAATAAAGTGCAAAAAGATTCCAAAGTCAAATATTCAAAATACCTGTGTCTAAAATTCTCCCAACATTCAGTTTACAATCATGTCGGACAAAGAAAAGCAACAGATTCTCCCATGTAACCATGGAGATGTTTGATATCTTGCCCGATTAAATTAATTGCAATGGCTAAGTCATGTTCAACATTATGATTCTGCATAAACATTTGCAGGATTTAGCTTTTAGACATTTTTGTTGAACCGATTTGTCTGAAAAAGAATCATCATTGCAGATCTAAGGATCTTTTTAGGGAAACCTTCATGGCAAACATTAAAATCCTCCTCCCTCCTCTCGTTTCCTCAGAGTGCCAGTGTGCGACGCCTCTCGGCTGCAGCCTCAGCCGCGCCATCGACCTGGAGAAGGACGACTACCAGCGCGTGCTCTGCAACAACGAGCTCTGCCCTTATGGCAACTGGATGCATCTGCAGTGCTTCTACGAGTGGGAGAGCTCCATCCTCGTCCAGTTCAACTGCATCGGCCGCGCACGCTCCTGGAACGAGAAGCAGTGCAGGCAGAACATGTGGACCAAGAAGGGCTATGACCTGGCCTTCAGGTTCTGCTCCTGCCGCTGTGGCCAGGGTCACCTGAAGAAAGACACCGACTGGTACCAGGTGAAACGCATGCAGGACGAGCGCAAAAAGAAGCCGTCCGAGAGGAGCGCAGGCAGGACTGGGGCCAGTGGAGGGGCTGTGGGGTCTGGGGACGGGCTTTTTGAAGAGCCTAAGAAAAGTAAGACACCTGGAGCAGGAGGAGGTAAACAATCCCACAGAGCCTCCAGTCAGGATTTACCTCGCAGACAATCAGTGGACCGACAGAACTCTTCAGAGAGAGGAGCAGCACTGGGAGGGCCCTTTCCTCTGGGCCTTCCTCAGAAATCTCCATGTGACTCTCCGGGACAATCTCCCCCTACCGGCTTCTCCCTCTCGCCCACTGCTGCTCCCGGATCAGGGGGAGCGGTTCTGAGGGGCTCCCGTCAGCTGGGAGAGTTTCTAAAATCAGCCGTCCACATGGACCAGCAGAGGAAACACCTCCTGGTCGGGGGAGCCTTCAGCAGGGGCGGCGGCTGCTCTGTGGGAGCCTCCGGAGGCGGTGGTCCTCACCTGGACCCCGGCTCTGTTCTTCCCCTGCCGCTGTCCTTCGCCCTGCCGCTCCACCACCGCCTCACCTCCGGCAGTGTGGGTGACGGCAACCACTCTCATCCGGTTCAGTTCCTGAGGAGGCTGGACCTCTCGGAGCTCCTCACCCACATTCCCCGACATAAACTCAACACCTACCACGTCCGCATGGAGGACGACGCCCAGGCAGGACAGGGGGAGGAGCTGCGCAGGTAGAGCTTCAGGGACATTTGTCTTCTGCTGACCGATCAACAAAATTTAATCTGATCTGAACTCGATTGTTAAGTTTAAATCTAGATAATGGTTCATGTTATTCGGTCTAGGAGACATAATGATGGTGTTGTCTTTCTTACCCTACGTCTGTCCATGTTGTCTGTCCATGTTGTCTGTCCTGTAGGTTCATCCTGTCCGCCCTCAGTGCGAGCCAGAGGAACGTGGTCAACTGTGCGCTGTGCCACCGGGCGCTGCCTGTGTTTGAGCAGTTCCCTCTGGTGGACGGGACCCTGTTCCTCAGCCCCTCGCGCCACGACGAGATCGAGTACGACGTCCCCTGTCACCTTCAAGGTCAGAGCTGGGTGTTCAAGGTCAGGGCGCAAGAGCTGAGATTATGTTTAACAAGTCTTAAAGATAAATAAAGGAAAACACGTGGGGGGAAGACAAGAAGACAACACCTTTAACATAAAGATGATGTAACGCTTCTCTAAATCCACATTTTGGTTCAAACCCCAAATTTCCTTTTAGTTATTTTGTTCCTTCTCCGTTGACTTGAATATGCTCAGGGCGTCTGCGCTCACATTCTCACTATAGTTAGAACAGGTTACAGATTATGTTTAATACTTTCAAAACATTCGTCCTCGACCTGAGGCCTGTTCTCTGCAGCAGGTTCAACTTACTCTGGATTTCACTCGGGGTTAACAAAGAAGTTGTAAACAAACCGTGGTTCAGTGAATTCTGAGCAGATACGAAAAAACAAATAAAGTTTAACGGTCAAATGAGAAACTGTTAAGAGTTTTATTAAAACACATTACTGACTGAATTCTGGTGTTCTCTGTGTACGGTGCTCTCCTCTGAAGTACTTACTTGATTCTAAAAAACCTTTTAGCTGCAACCACAATGAAAAATTCACCTGCAGCCAATCAGCAAAAAATATAAAAACATTCTTCTAAGTGATGAAAACTCCTCATCCTCACAGTTTTTCTAAATTGCTGAATCACAATTGATGAAACTGGATCCGCTTGATCTTCATCAGTGCGTTCACACTTTTTTATTGGGTTCACACAATTTTATTTTTAATCAGTTTACAAAACACAGATGTCATACAAAGACCCAAAGCTCTGATGATTTTGTTAAACAAAAGGAAAATATGTCAGGTCCATATTTATAGAATGTATAATTCATTCGTTTGAATCTCTAATGCACTTTTTCAGTGATCGGTTTGATCCACTTTTAAAAACTGTCACCTCTGTTTCTCTCTCTGCCAGTAACCTCACTGAACAGGCCCCCAGCCTGACGTCAACTAGAAGTAATATTTTAATGATTTACATGATTTGTATTGTTTCTATATTGTGAGGATTATATACAATTACAGAATGGATTTAGTGGAAGGATGTAATATGGGTCAGGGAGTAAATCCGGATCTGGGGACGGGTTCATGAAATTTGTATCCCTTTCTTTACGATTGTGCCGTCGGGCGTTTTTTCAACATTTTCACACATTCTCCAGGGAACAAATCGAGGACCTCGATGAAAAGAAACTGAAATCAAAGCGTGTGTGTAACTTGCTGCAGCTTGGTTGGTTTTAGGCGACCACTGAGGGGCATCGTAGTTCAGGACATGAAATCACATCGGTGGATAAATGTGGCATCAAGCTAATCCAACTAATATATTCCTCTTGATGCAGTTTTGTTTCTTGTCATACATAAATGCAGTAACTGGTTTGCGTTTCTTCTATTTCTAACAGGCAGGTTAATGCACCTGTACGCCATCTGTGTGGACTGTCTAGAAGGCGTCCACAAGATCGTCTGCATCAAATGCAAGTCACGCTGGGACGGGAGCTGGCATCAACTGGGCACCATGTACACCTACGACATCCTGGCTGCTTCACCGTGTTGCCAGGTACAAACTCTCGTCCCTGTGAGCTGACGCATCGACAGCAGCACGGACAGAAACATGTATTGAATGAGATTTTTCAGACGAATATCTAAAATCCAAGGCATATTTCTTCCTTATCTGTTTAACCAACTAGCGTCCCCTCTCCTCCCTGTGCGTCCTCAGGCTCGACTCAACTGCAAGCACTGCGGGAAGCCGGTGGTGGACGTTCGCATCGGGATGCAGTATTTCTCCGAGTACAGTAACGTCCAGCAGTGCCCTCACTGTGGCAACCTGGACTATCACTTTGTTAAACCCTTCTCCTCCTACAAAGTTCTCGAGGCTTATTGACAAATGTTGTCTGTGCATGCTCGTAAGGCTGCTCCAGTTCTTGTTGGTTTTTTTCTAACACAATCTAGGAAAGATTTTATTTTTTTGGGCCTTATGGTGATTTTATGTGTTTTAAGTTCACACTTTTATTTTTTATGTATAAGCAAAGAGTATGATTCTAGTTTTAAAGAATAAATGAATAAATAAATAAAAGTCCCAGGACAGTATCTCTGCTGTTAGAGAAAGGTGTTGATAAAAATGTGGAATTGACACTTTTAAGTCAAGCAAACACATTTATCTCTGTGACAAGTGAATGTATCTGTACGCCAAAATTTACTTTTATTTTTTACCAAAAAATAAAATAAAGATGAATCTTGAATAAAGCAGAGAAAGATGAGCACAAGTGTTGGTTTTAAATGTTCCTCACATTGAGACCCTTTTTCTCCTCCAATGAAACGGGACAAATGTTCCCGCTTGATTTGGTGAAAATGTTTTATTTCCATCAGATCACTGCGGTATAGACCCTTCTGTCGTGTCCTCGCTGCTAGCAGACGATGTTTGACTCCGGGCGGACTTCGAAATGGAGTCGTCAGACTGCGGCGCTGCAGACTTTCCTTTCCGAGCGATCTCCTTTGCTGAAGCCGGACGGAGGACGCACGTGGCTCCTTTACCGTCACGTATGACTGTCGGCTTGGAAACAAATCCCACCATTACCTCCAATTGTTCCACCATCTGCTCCAAAGTTGTGTCCTGTGGAAAGAAGATTTCACGAGTAAGATACTTAAAAAAAAACAAAAAAGATAAAGAAATCTGTCTTTTCTTTGAAACTTTATTGACCAAGACATGGACTTCTTGATTGAAAAGGTTCGATTTGACAGATGAAAAAACAACATTTCTATCTCTGTAGTTTTAACTGCTTTTGCATTAAGGTTCTTTAAAGATGATATTCTATAATCCTTGTTTATGAAGAGCATAGACTGATTTGTAATGTACCCTCGTATCCATACTGAGTTAATAACATTATTGTCTGTTTAAGCTACTTCATTTTGAGTGTTTGGAAACCCTGACCTGTCAGTCGTCTCATTTCACATCCTGTTATCTCTTCCTGTCATAAAACGGCCAAAATATGCCCAAAAAAGGCGTTTTCCTCACCAGGTTGCCTGCAGGGTTCCCACGTGCCAATCGCAGAGTAATCCTAACATGGTGCTTCTTCTCCAGCCAGCTCTCCACTTGTTTCAGCTTGGTGCCGAGGTCATGGGACGCGATGCCGGATGAAAAGCTGAGCTCCTTCACCTGCACAGACGCTGCGGAGGAGATACAGTCAGTCGCCTTTCACGTGACATGCTACATCGTGTTTCACAGATTAAAATGAAAAGGGACTGTCCAGTAATTAATTATTCCAAATAACCTTCTGTTATTTAGAGAGAACGATAATAGATTTATTGTTAATGAAAATAAAAAGTCTCTCTATTTTTAACGGTTGACAAAGCTGCTCCACACAGGACACTGAACAACTGTGTTCACAGGCTGCGTAGGTACTAAGTTGTGATCCCTGTCAGGACACCACACACCTGGTTTGGCTTTCTGTTTCTCCCTCAGCTTCAGCTGCTCTTCGTGGATTTGTTTGCCACTCATCAGCTGGTAGGTGGGAGGGTCTTTGCGTTCATCGAGCAGCACCAGTTTCAGACCCTGCTCGTCCATGATTCTGATCGTATCTGCTCGGTGCATGCTGCCCATGTCCTCGCCCGACTCGCTTATCACGTGTATCAGTTTCTGCGGGATCTTACGGCCGACGCTGCTGATCGTGGTGTGAGATCTGGGATCCTGCTTTTTTTTCTTCTGTGCAGGATTCTTTTCCGCATCATCATCTGCTGCTGTACAGAATGAAGAGCAGCTCCAGGAGATGATGTTTGTTCTGTCGCTGCAGTTGAGAAACCTTGATGCTGCGGTCCGGGAGCCAGGAGTGACACCACACACAGCTCTGACGCCATGGTTCAACACCCACCGCATACAACCTGCAGACATGTCCTGAATAAAAAAAAGAGTGGTGAGAGTTGAGCTGCCTGATGTGATCATATGTAGTGAACTTCAAGAAAAAGCCATAATTAATCCCTCATCTCCATTAGACGGCTTAACACGAATGAAAACGTACCCTTTCTTTGACATTGTGAAAAAGGCATTGTTTAAAAAGATTTTCATAAATTGCTAAGGGAATAATTAATAGATCTTGATTTAAAAGACAGGCATGTTGCTGTTTATGAGTGTGTTCAAAGAAAAATCTGGATGTAGTGAATTTAGAGATGGTTGGGCGTCATTCTAGTTGTAAAAAATATCAGTCAATGAAAAATCAATATGCAAATCGTTAGAGGCCTCTTGTTTTAATCTGATAAACAATCACAACGCATCTCAGGTTGAGTTTTGACTGATTCTGTGAGTTTCCTGAGCACACACCCACCAGACCAGCCTCCATTCACGAATTAGTTAATACAAGATAATGTATATTATCCGTCAATATCCGCACAAAGACATTTTCAAGACATTGTTTTGTCACATCTCCTGGGTCAACTCCATCATTCGGTGAACACCACACTCACTTCATTATTTTGTAGAAGTTTTACACACGTTTTTAATCGGATTTAAGTCTTTGGTTCACTCGTCTGTGGTTTAAACACCGTGTACGATAGATGCGATGGGGACGATTGAAAAATGAGTCCAAAAAGCGTAACTTTAAGCAAAACAAACCAGTAAAGGTATGCCGAACTTATGAGAAGGCCTCGGGGATTTAGTAAATATGTTTCAGCCCATGAATCATGCCTCGGTTTGTGTGTGATGAATGTGAAAAAAACTTAACTGTGAGGTTTTGTAGCGGAGTCTGGGTTTGACAAGAAAGATCAAATTACAATCATTTGGACCAGGAACCCATCTGAAAGAATGAAGCTCTGCTGTGACCCACACGGTACAAGTTGTCCCACGTGTACAGATGTGTACAGGTGTGTGTACAGGTGTGTGTACAGAGTGTGTACAGGTGTGTACAGATGTGTAATTGTACTTTAACGCATCCTCGGTTACGAATATTACTGCAAACGCACAACGGTCAAAATTAGAGATAAACGTAAATCACGCGGGTCATTAAACAAACTTACACGTTTTCAATAGTTGTGTTTTTTTACTCACTTGCGCGTCAATGTCGTTCATTCATGTTCTCAGCTGCTACTTCCGCTGTGTTCTTCTTCCCGGGAATCAGAACCAACACATGCAAACACAACCACAGTATCGCCCCCTGTGGACAAAGCTGGACACGCAGGCTCATTGGTCGTTTGCTGGTGCTGCAGCTCACAGTTGTTATAGATTTATTTATGTGTTCCCATGTAAAACAACGTTTTAAATAAAGAAACACAAAATCATCAGACCAGAATCTTTTAGGTTCTACTGCGATGAAAACCGTTTTAAATGTTTTCTCTGTGAATCTGTGGCGTTAGCGTGCCGTCCTCACTGTCAGGAGGAAAAGTGCTAAGTCTCTATGTCACATTTGCAGATCTAGGATTTTTCCAAATCACAATTTACACAGAGGGAACAATTATACGTCCACCATCCGTGCACTTCTCCCGATTCAGTACACACTCAAGTTGTTCCTTGTTTACCATAATGCCAATCCATAAAACCACAGAGCTGGGAATTTACAACCCCTGAGTCTGAAGTTGCAACTGGAGCGCACCGTCAAGTCGGAATTTTGACTCGGGAGGTTGGAGGACCCGGAAAAAAAATGTCCCCTCTGCACATCAACAGTAGTGACAGCTGTGGTTTTTACTGTTTGTTAGCTCTTCTGTCATTTGATGTGTCGTACATACGTTTTGTCCATAAGCACAAACTTTGCTTGTAGAACTGAAATTCTATATATATATCCTAATATAGCCTATGTTATACGGCACGCCAACACCTGTCCTGATGTTTATGTTGACCTTTTAGTATAGTCCATGTCCAATCCACTAACATAGAACTATATTCCAGGAAGCCAACAGGGGGCGATAGAGATGCTTTGGCTTCATTTTTTGGAGCACGCACACACACACACACACACAAAGAACAATATCAGCTCCACTGCTGCTCCTGATTAATATGTTGATTTCCTGTCTCTCTCTCGCACTCGATGCTATAAATACTCCAGCAGCTCGATCTTATCAGTTGACATTTCCTTTTCCAGCTCCAAAAAACTTGTAACAATGTGGAGTTCTTACTTATTTGCTATTTACTTTACACACAATTTTCAATTTGAAGTTCTTTGTGCGATGTTTAGTCAAGTTTTTACATGGTCATTAGTGCTATTTACATACACAAGCCTTGTGTACTGTTACACCTCCTGTGCATGTTCATCATAGCAGCATGTTATTTGGCTAGTTTTGCATAGGACAGTGGCATCAGGATTAACTTCCCCATGACTCTTCCAGGAAAAATTTTATTTGCAAGACAAATGTTTTGCAGAGGGCGGCTGTGAAAAAGTCAGCTCGGCAACACAAAGTCACAAAACTGACGTAGTGTTGCTGCTCATGTTTAGTGGTTTGATGTAACTTCCAACAGAGAGGAGGTAAGAACTGAAATACTCCGTTCATCTTTGTCTGATGAGACCTGATAGAAAATACACACTGAGAGAATATTTGTTATTCATTTAGCGTAGCAGTGAATGGACCACACCTCTTAATGCCTTCAAAAGAAGATGACGGCAAAGTTCTGGATAACGTGGGTTTTGTTCTCAGGCCTTCTGGGGAATTTACCTGTTTGTAAGTAGAATCAATTTTCACATACTGATTGGAGGCTGTGTATCTCAGTTCAGTCTGTGTATAATGTTGTTTTATTCTCTTCTCTTAAAATGTAAAAGTCTCAGGCATAACTATGTTGTTATCATTAGAGCCCGACTGATACTGATATTTGTGGGATGACGTTATTGAACCCTTATGAAGAGAAATCTAAACTGAGGACTGATATTTCACAGTTTAACCAGGAACTTTCTTCTAAGCAACTTTAAATCAAAGAAAGCACAAATACAACCCAATAATAGAACTTGAATTTAGAAAATAAAGATAAATGCGCATCGTTACTATTCATAGTATAAAATAAATGTTCACATCAGCAAATGCAGATACTTCTATGTCTGTAAAAGGCTCATATCCATAGATTGTTATCATCCATGCTTAAATAAAGGTGTAAACCTATAATGTTGAGAATATTTAATGTTTCTGGTTTGCTGTTGGTGTTTTAGCCCAAGGAAATACGATGAATAACATCAGGAAAATATGTTTGGAGAGGAAAACAATCTTGATCTTAGCTGACACCTTTAACTCCATCGTCAACATATCCAAGCGTCAAGGTCAGTGAAAAATGCAACAGACATTTTCATGACAGTAATTTTTGATTAATGACTCTACTATATACTAACTATAATGTACATATGGTTTGATGAAATTCAGACGATAACACCTGCCGAGTAAATAAGGACTTCAAAAAAGGAGGTAAGCTCATGCTGGGAGGGGAGAACTGTAATGACAGTATAGTCAGTGCTCTATCTGAGTCTTTTGATGAAGTAATGAAATATTCGTTAGGAGACTTCAATGAGTGATTTCAAAGACTAAATTAAATCCTCTCAGGTGTTTGTGACACTTCTGATTAATGACTCTACTATATACTATAATGTACATGTGGTTTGATGTATCTCAGACAGAAACCCCTGCAGGGCGTTTCAAAAGAAAGTTGAGATTTTTGTCAAGATATTGTGACAGTAGACAATCTTTTGTGCATCACATAATGAAACGAGTGGTTGTATTGTAATTTATTAATTTTATCTCAATTTAAACCCTTTTGATCAGTGTCAAGTCGTGTCCCTTGTTCATTCTGTAGATTTTTCTTACGTAAAAGTATGTAAGAGATGTAAGATTGATAATATGGAAAGGTATATTCTGGTCATTCTCTTATAGTTCAGTAATAATAATAGTAATAAAAAACTCTACTTCACAGTTTGCATCGTATTTCTGAACATGACGGCTAATGACGGTGAGTACAGACTTTTCAATTCAATTTTCAATTTAATTTGCATCGCGAGATACATTATCTCGAGGCATTAAGTCAGGTCGATAATAATAATAATGATAATAATAAGTATAATACAATAATGATATTTGTTGTTGAGTAGTGTTGGATCTGGATCTCGCAACTCTGGAGTCAGAGAGAGAGAGAGAGAGAAAAAGAGAGAGAGACCCCGAACAGCATCCTTCTCAGATGGGATCTTGATTTATTTATTTATTCATTTTGTTTTGTGTATAATTTATTTATTTACCATTATTATTGATGTTTACTTTTAACTGGTGTAAGAGCAGCTTTTCTTCTGTTGAGGTTGTATAAATGATTTTGATTTACGTTGGTTATCAGAAGAGAGACAATATTATTTATGAGTTGTGTGTTCATCTGAGTGTTAAACATATATGTAATTATTACCACTTACTGTTTACAAGGAGTGTTTTTTGATGGTAATATCTGCCAGTATTTTGTATTTTAATTGACAGGAAATCCGGGGGAAAAAAATTATTTTCAGCTGCTGGCCCTGCCACGAAATAACATTTTGTATGTCATACATGGGAATTCTTGCTGCTCAACACTACGCAATCTCACAGGTGATGGAACAAAACTGCAATTGACATATATTTTTTAAATGTGTATGGGCTCATGATATATATATATGTGTGTGTGTGTGTGTGTGTGTGAATATAAAGTATTTGGACATAAAGGGCCTATTCTAAGGTAAAGAAAACAGCAATCATACCATTTAGGTGAAACACACTCGTGAAAACATCACTAGGATTATTTCTGCCAATAGATCCCCCTCACTCACTTCATTCTCTACAAATTTAGATGTGTGTGGCCTCTTGATGTGAATGAACTTTAAAGCTGATGATGTACTTTTCTTTTATAAACCAGGTTTTAATAGATCAAAACCTGACAACATCTTCAGAGGCGGTAAGCTCATGCTGGGAGGGGAAAACTGTTACGACATTATAGTCAATGCTCTATTTGCATGTTGATTTAAAGTTGGAATGATGAGTGTCTTTTGATGAAGTAATGACATATTTGTTAGGAGACTTAAATGAGTGATTTCAAAGACTAAATTAAATCCTCACAGGTGTCTGTGACGTGTAGTTTCTTATATATCGTTTCTTATATATAAAGTAGTTATCTTATATGTTATATTTCTTCATGATTGTGCAAAAATGTTAAAATCTGTTTTCATTAAAAGGAAATTGCACAATTAGACGGTTCAAAACAAAGAAGATATGTGAGGTCACTGACATCAATGAAACACCCTGCATAGAAAAAGGTGCGTTCCCTTAAGATAAGCAGTAATAATAACAACAATGATAATGATCAGTATTATAGTAGTATGTGAGTGGATAAGTGAGAGAATAAGAGAGCGAGTGAGCAAGAGAGTGAGTGCGTGAGAGAGAATGGGTGAGTGAATGGGTGAGTGAGTGAGTGAGTTTGTGAGCAAGTGAGTGAGTGAGAGTATGACAGAGTGAGCCGGTTGAGAGAGAGAGAGAGAGTGACTGAGTGAGCGGGTGAGAGAGTGAGTCAGCAAGTGAGTGAGTGAGCGAAAACGTTAGTGAGTGAGTGATTGATTGAGTGAGTAATTTTAGGAGAGCATGTCTGCAGCTGTGCACAGAGCTTTATAATGATGTGCTCCATCAGAGCTGAGACTTTGAATAACCAGATCTGCTTCTTTCAGCTGAAGAGACGGATTGGAGCGAAACATTCTACACCATCAACATAACAGCAACAAACAGCAGCTGTTACAAGTGTAAAAAACTAGTGAGCAAGCCCAAAAATCATCTTGAAGTCAACACATCATCTCCCGCAGGAGAAGCAATAGACTCAGAGAAAGCAGGGTAACACATTCATTTATTAAATGAAGAGTTATTTAGGGAAATGTCATTTTAATTTCAGTCAGAAATAATAAGATCCACACCACCGCTGTACAAATGAAAGAGTTCCATGAGAGCTGATATGAAACATTGATATTTGTTCTTCTATCAACAGTGAAATCGTAAACAATATAAAGGATTTAGTCGCCTCCCTCAATGAATCTTCAGCATCCTTGTCTGGAGAAGGAATCCAGGGCGCCATCGTGATAGAGAGACATTCTGAAGATAATGACGATTTTGAAGAAGTCATGTTTGCTTATGCGTCTCGAGATGACAGCTTGAGTGTGAGTGCATTACTTTTTATTTGACCTTCATACATGTGCAATGTCATTAAAATAAAAGTGACTCGATGTTCATACATATGTGCGACTTTCAACTAAAACTGTTTTTTATTTTATAATATATTCTTTTATTTACATCTTTTTCCACATGGTTTATTCTGTCAATTCAAAGTTTTCATATCTGCAAACAAAAACGTGGATATCGATACGTCTGCAAAAGGCTTTTTAATCATCCTCAGACTGAAACCTGTGTTCATCATGTAACTAATGTTGTAGAGAACAGAAAAAATAATGCTACTCACAAAATCATGCAACTCCTCCCGAAATCTCTTCTGCTCTTTCCTGCAGATTATCGGTGACAGAGCTTTACTGCCTGACTTTTCCAGAACGGTCAGGGTGCCGAAAGAAGCTTTTGGACAAGCTTTGAGCTTAAACGTCACTGTCCCGTTCGCAGCTGTTGTGAAATTCACTAACATGGCTCATGTAAGAACCAAATAAAAACAGTTTCCCCCTCAATGATGGAAGCACCTTTTATATACGACGACAGTAAGAGTTTGTAATGCTCACGATTTTCTCAGGATGAGAAGCAGGGAACTGTTTTACAAAATGAGGTTTTGGCGGTGGAAATGGGAGCCACGATCGCCAACCTCACAGACCACATAGACATCAATTTTAAGAACATGGATTACGTAAGTTGAAAACAATGTGCATAGTTAAATGTACGTCTTTACCATTCAAGGGCACATTTTCAGTGCAGCTCTGTTGATTTGTTCACAGAGGGGAATTCCATCTTGTCAATCATGGGACGGTAAAGGTAAGATGCTCGTAGAAAGTAATTTGTAAAGGACTTTATAAGTGCTATAGAAATAAAGTTTAATTATTTATCATGATTAATACAACATGAAATGCAGCTGAAAACATACTGCAGTCAAGTGCTTTGCATCTAACTCGAGTTGATGCTAATGTTTTTGTTCTTCATTCAAATACATTTATGAGGCCTCCAGTTCCTGCTCTGCACTGATCTTGTCTCACGTGCAGGCAAGCTACCACAATGGACCGATGAAGGATGTCAGACGATAATAAATGGAACCAACATCTCCTGCCAGTGTTCACATTTGACGTTCTTCGCCATCTTGTTGGTGTGTTTTACTTCTTTTGTAACATTGATTTCCTTTCCCAGCGTGATGGATAATCTTCTGTACGGCCACCTTTTCAGTATCTCCCCTGCATTATAAATGTAATCATAAAAACCGTCGTGATTATCAATCCCAAAGTGCTCAAAACCGTTTCCCTGTGTTTTTTTCTCCTGTGCAGACTCCCCTGAATGAAACCATCTCTAGTTCTGATCTGGACAACCTCACCATCATCACGAATGTCGGCTGCGGCTTGTCCATGTTCTTCCTCTGCATCGTCCTCTTCATGCACTTTCTTTTAAGGTCACAATAATCAAACTGTATTTATGATATTGATATTTCATTTAAGGGACATTTTCTATTAAAATACAATGTGCTTCACGTGCTTCACTTCAGAAATGCACATAAAAATACACGAAGTAAACAAAGAAGATTTATCATTAATCGTTTACAAGGGCTTGCATGAAAATAGAGCTTTGTGCTTGACATCTTTAATTTTAAGTAAGAGTAAAAAGAGTTGAGCCTCTGCAGCTACACATATTTGATGTAAACCAGAAAACAACAGCTGAACATTGATGTAAATAAGGAGACGTCACAGAAAAACAGAACACTGTGGTAGCTTGTGTCAAAATAGTCACAGCATGGAAATGAGATCTTTGAATAGCAGCTTCATTGTTTAGAAGGAAAAAGTGTTTACCCTCGCCGTGTCACAGGAATATCTCAATGTCACTGCTGTGCCAACTTCTGCAAACAAACATTATCCAGAGATAGTAAGATCATCCTTTGTCAATACAGTGTATGATTATGTTATATTTAAATAAACTTTACTTAAATGGGTCCTGTTTTGAATAGAGACAGTTTTACATGAGTAACTTATAGAGTGTGTTTCCATGAGGGAGCCGTGGTTGCCCTGACGACACTCTCTGAGAGTCAGCTGTCAATCGTGACGCTTCACGACATTTTTATAGCATCAAATAACAAACGTATCAGAAACATGAACACTTGACAGACACCGTGTTTTAGAAAAAATTATTAACTTGTATTTTGACTTTTTAGTTTGGCCCATGTTCCATCCACCAACATGGAGGGAGCAGGCCTTATTACCCATACTGCAGCCTGTCAACAGGTGGCGATCAAGAGGCTTTACTCTTGTGGAGCTGTCATGTTGTTCAGCATACAGTCAATAACTGGAAGCAGAACGTATTTGGTGTTTTTATTAAACAAACTAATACATGAGTGAATTAATTGTGTTTCAGTTTCAGATGTTTAACTTTTGAATTGACTCATCGTTTCTGACCCAGTCCTTCTTGCTCTTGGCCAAAACTCAAATCTATTTTTTCGATTTGCAAAACAAAAGGTTGTGAACCCTAAAGAAATCCCATCTCGTCTCACAGGAGGACCAAGGCCACTGACACCACGAAGATCCTGATCCACCTGGTGGTGGCCATGTTCCTGCTCAACTTCACGTTCCTGATCAACAACACTGTGGCCGGACTGAAGAACTCTATGGGTTGTAAGATCATGGCGGCGGTCATGCATTACTTCATGTTGGCCACCTTCACTTGGTTTGCTGTGCAGGCCTTCCACCTCTGCCTGCAGGTGTACAAGGGGGGCAACATCGTGATCCATCGGTACATGCTCAAAGTCTGCATCCTCGCCTGGGGTGAGTTCATATTAATAATTACTTGGATTTATATAGTGAACCAAGGCAGCTTTACAGAGTCAGGAATACAAGACCAAAGATAGAACAAGCCAAGGACAGTGGTCAAAAGCCTTTGGGAGCAGATGGGTTTGCATCCATCCATCCATTATCTTCCAATTAACCGAGATCAGGTCACGGAGGAAGACAGCATGTCTGTTCTAGACATCCCTCTCCCCAGCCAGGCCTCAGTGAATGCCCAGGTTCTCAGGGTGGCTACCAGGGCTTGGTTTCTGAATGACTTTTATTTCCTCTTTCACAAGCATTTTTCAACATTTTCACTGTTTTTCTCAGAGAACAATCAGTGAAAATGTTTACACATTTAGAGAACTGATATCTACGAGTGTGTGTCACGAGGCGACTTTTGCGTTTCAGACGTGAATTGATTGTTGTTCATTTTCTTCCTCCGTTTCCAGCTACACCCAGTGTGATCGTGGTTTTCCTGCTCAGCTTCAGCAAATATGGTGAACAAGTCATACACACTGATGACGCTGTCAAAGATGTGACCATGTGAGTGAAGCGAGATCATAAGTTATCTTTTATACACAGATTTTAACGGTTCCTTTTCTTTACTGACATATGTTTCTGTTCCAAGGTGCTGGATAACTGACGAGAATGCCCACTACATTGTCAACATAGGCTACTATGCTATAGTCTTCCTCTTCACCTTCACCACCCTCACCGTCATGCTGTCGTGGCTCTGTTATCTCAAGAAAACCAAAGCTGACAACCAGCAAGCTAACCAAAATGGCATTAGCATCATGACTATCATGGGACTGTGCAGCATGCTGGGTGTCACGTGGGGTTTTGCCTTCTTCGCCTACGGTGACCTCCGGATTCCCTCCTACTACATTTTCACAACTCTTAATTCTTTCCAAGGTATCTGTGATCAGTTCGGGTCTAGTGGAACTAATAGTCTGTCAATTTATCTGATATGATTCTGTTTAATTTGTTAATTAAGACCTATTTAATACTCATTGCATTCCAGCCAGATTTTTCCCTCAGAAGTAAAGAGAGATCAGAAAACAGCTAAAGAAGGAATTAATGTCAGATCCACATTTTTTTAGGTGAACAGAAATGACATTTAATGTTTGAAATATAGAGCGAACTCAATTAACTGTACTGAAAACAGAAAGGTAAACAAAAACAACATGGGTAAAAAGCATGTACTGTGAACTGTGAAGAAAAACGCCAATCAATGAGTGTAACATACAAATACTAGAACCAGAAAAAAACTTGTGAGTGACCACCTTTCTTTGCCTTGTAGGTTTCTTCCTTTTCATCTACTACTACACCAACAGAAACAAGGTGGTGAGGGACACCGGCACCTTCAGTGACTCAACAAACGCCAGTAAAACCACGTCTGTCGGAACTGATCTACATATCTACAGCAACCCCTACGCCAACCAGCTGGAGAAAAAAAACCCTTAGCCTCAGAGGATGACTGGTTCAAGCAAGTACAGAATCAACTGGAGAGTGTACGAATGTAAAACATAGAGCTGTAATAACAGGTGTATCTCATGCTTTTTTTCTTTATCTCAGGACCACAGTTAAGTTTGGATAAGTTTATACAGTGAGGATTAGAAAAGAGTGTTTTGTGCAATTTAATAAACTGAATATAAAAAATAAATATTAATGCAAAGCTTAAAGGTAAAATAGCTAAATATTATAAAAAGCTTTAAACCGGTGAAAGGTTTTTTTGTTGTTGTTTTTTTTACCCGGGTGACCCAACTGAGGCCCATCAGTCCCCGGCTTGTATCCAAGTTACATGCTCCTTCGTGGATCCCCCCCCCCCAACGCATTTTCTTCTCTCCTGCAACTCTATAATGTCAAGAAGGCTGAGAGCTCGGTGTAAAGACCGTCCGGCTAAGCCCCTGCGGTCCAACTCAATGTGTTTGCAAAAGGCAAAAGTTAGAATAGTCAGACGTTGAGACCAGATTGTCCAGCTGCCAATCATGTGCTGTAGCTAGTGACCCAGCTAGAGGCCCCGCACTCCAACCGTTTTACACCTGCGGCTTCACTCACGTCCTGATTCTGGAGCCGCAGGTGCAAAATATTATACATCCGGCTGTAACCATACGAATACGAAGTGGGAAATCTTATGTTTTGACTGAAATATGAAGAGGGATAAGAACAATGAGGAAATCCGCTCTTTATTTTTAGTCACTAACATTAAAACACAAATTGAACATTAATAAAGTTTCTCATACAAACTCAATTCAAATGAATAGATTATTGTACATTATTAAAGTAAGAGAGCCTCCGCTTCCATGAGAGCTTTTTCCATCTCAGCAGCCTCCAGCGAGAAGTTCTCCCTCTCCTGCATCATGGGTTCTCGTGCGTTAGCGAGGTCTGTCATTGTTGCTTGGATTTCCTGCAAGTGTGTAAAGAAGGGACATTTTAAATACACCGCACACATCCCTAACATCATCTACAACAAATTGATCAAGACAAAATGGTGACTCTGTCTCACCTCTAGCCGAGAACGTTGCTGAGATGCAATTTCACCAAAAGTCCTTAATTCGTTCAGCAGGTCTGCGGAGACGCTCTGAAGAAGAGAAAAAAATGAGTTGACTCGATTGTATATATAACAACTGAAAGCCTTTGCATGTGTGAAATACAAATATATAGATTTATTATACATATTTCTTAAAAAAGGGAACTTTCTTTCTCAGGACTTGTAGGGTTATCAGGTATGGAACAAATTAATAAGTGCATGTTTAGAATTTCCTCTGTATCACGTGTTGTAGTTATTTTTGGGAGTTGGATTCAAATGTACTTTAATGAAACATGAAATATAAATAAAAACTCTGCATGTGAAAAAACTTTATCTACCATTGCTTCTTTCCGTTGATCTTCGTTTAGTTGTGCAGCTTCTCCCACCCTTCCTCCTGAAACTAGACAATGTATTCATGTCAATTTCTATCAAGCAACCAATAAAACAGAGCAAACTCAAATTTAGAAATTGGAATGGAAACATATTCACCTGGGTCTATATTTGCTGCGACAAGGAGAACATGGCAGTCCTTCAGGTTTTTCTGTACATCTGCATTTTCCTTTTCTATGTCGCTGAACTGCAGCTCCAACTCAGCGACTCTTTGCTGCAATATAACAAGGACGTTAACAAAGTGATATTTATTCATAAATAACTTCTGAAGGATTAATATAAGTACTTTATTTTGTGTCAGTCGCACCTGTGTCTCTGTGAGGTTTTTCTGCAGCTCCTCATTGACGGTCATCAAATGCAGATTTTGCTCCTTGAGCTCTGCCTCTTGCCCATACCGTGTGGAGACTCTATGGAGCGGTGCAACATATTCAGTTGTAAAAATGAAGTTCACTACTTGGTCTGGATATGCAATATAGTCTGTGACTTACCCTTTGTGAACTTTAGGAACAACATTTTTCCTGAAAGACAAAAGGGAAAAAATGTTACTCAATAGCTGTGAGGCAAACGTACGGACACAAAAGAATTCCAGAAGAAACTGCAGAACGTGGTTTCCTGCCAAATCCATTTGGCATTTGAATTGTGTATAATACATGTTCCTAAATGGTAAATTAATATATAATGACTTTTGTTACCGAAGACACATAGATTTACATTTACAGCACGCTGTTATATGTTGTGCTTCTTCTATCACACACTGTCGGCACAGGGGAAGTTTGGGATTCAGTATCCTGCCCAAGGACACTCTGGCATATGGCCTGGAGGAGCGAGAGCGGGATATAACCACCGACATTATGGTTACTGGAATCATGCCTACGAACCGAACTGTAAACTGTAAATATATGTATTGTTACAGTCCATCTCTCTCTCCATGATTTGAATTTACTGTTATTGTTTGTGTACAGGCTGTAATTTATTTCTTGCCTCTGCGTGTTATCTCTCTGAGGTCTGAGGACTCCATCTGATCTCGGGGCAGCGTTTCCTGTGTCTTTGGATTCATATTTACGACCCGTTCTCTTAGTTTCTGCAGGAACCTGCAAACCTGGACGAACACACAATCAGCCATCAGCTTTGTTTGACTTTACCAAATTAAACACACATTGACTTAGTGAAAATAGAGCCTCTAAATGATTCCGCTTACCTCTGGGAATCTTTGTAGACATTGTTGACCTGTGATGACAAACAATCCAATTAAGTTTAATTAGCTGTTTATCCAATTAAACCATTTTCAAATAGGTGCTTATTTTATTTGTAGACAAATTCAACAGCCACGAGCTCCCAAACCTTAAAATACGCGGATCTTAAAAATGGCCATATTGTGAATGGAGTTTGGTGCAAAGCAAACAGTGAGAAGGAAAACTAGCTGTAGTTCCGCTGGCTCAAGTGTAACTTACGTATCCCACGTTGATGAATAACGCTAATAAACGACGCTTACCTTCAGATTTTACGTTGAATACGAAAGTTGTCAACAACCAAAACATGAGCCGCAGAAAATTTTAAAAACGTCCCGCCCTCTGTGTTCACTTCCGGACCCCTTTTTTGCCTCATTTCCGGTACACATAAAGTACTGCATAAATAAAGTTATACCGGGGGGGGGGGGGGTCCACTTGTTGTATTCGACAAAGAAAAAAGAAAAAGTTATTAACTATTTGTTTAAATTACTTTTGATGCAGTAAAAACGAAGCAAGCAGGGGGAAGAAGGAGCGGATGACGTCACTGGGCTGGGACGCTGCGGACTGCGCGTGCGCGGAGGCGGCTAAATTCAAACCTGCAGACGTTAGCTCCGTCGCTCGTTGACGTTAGCTTCGGTTCGCAGCTGAATGTTCTGTTCAGCGAAACACGAGCGACATGAGAAGAGTTCTGAGTTCGTGAACGAGTCACAACAACAACAACTACTACTACAGCCGCGGGGGGGAAGCCGGAGGAATTAGCTCGTAGCACCCCGCGAGGTAAGAGCCGCAAGTTTGTATTGTGAGAGCTAAGCTAGCACGGAACGTTAGCATAAAGGGAATAACTTTAAATCCGCGTTCCAGACTTTTCCCAGCGAGTGTCACTAATGTTTAGTTCGCTCTTGGTGTCAAGCTGGATTCATAATCTGAAGTCATTATTCACTGTGTGTTGAAGAGGTCTGCAGGAACGTCCAGCTGAAGTCAAACTCAAACACACGAGTGAATGACAGACACTGGGAAGTTATTGTCATTGTTGAGTTTGTTGTGATCATTTCTTAAAGTGTAGTTAAAGGAAAATAAAATCTCTATTTGATGTTGTCGCCTTCGGGGCTTTAAACAGCACCAGGTCTCTGAATGTGGTGAGTAGGTTGGTTCAGGCATCTTGATCAACATGTCTCAGTGGAACTCAACTGTCTCATAATCTGTCTTCTCGATGTTTTCTCAGATTGATGTTGTTTTTCCTTGTGTCTGAAGGAAGCTCCTTGTACTGTATCTTACATGCTGCAGGATTAATAGGACACTGATGGTCAGTCAAGTAGTGACGGGAAATTCAGTTTTGCAGTAATGCACATTCACCCTGACAGAGGAAGACCATTTATTTCATTGTCCCGATTAGTGTTCTGTGATTGATAAGAATCTGAACATCCCTGAAACCCAAGCACAGTCCTGTATGTTACTGAAAATAGGTCACTGCAATCATATACTGGGTTAATTTCTTATTTTGATCTGTTCACAGTTGAAGATGGAGCCCCAGGAACTTGCAAAGAAAAAGTAAGTGAAATTATGTTATTGAGAAACATAATTTGCTGTCCTCCAGGATTAAGATGTCTCCTATTATTGGATGGATTCACGTTGCATATAATGATATTCACCTCACATGTATGAGCACTAGAGTTCACTCACTGTGTTTCGTGTTTTGTGTTGCAGTGAAGGCAGTGGATTCTCCAAGCGGCGCATTTCCTCAGTGAGTGCAACAACAAATCATTTTATAGATGAATGTGTGTAGTTTTCATTTGTTTTTGAACAAATCTCAACCGTATTTTAGATTTTAAAGGCACCGCGGAAATCAGCCAGATTCCCGGATCCAGAGCAACAAGAAAATGTGGTAAATGGATCGCTTGATTTGAGATTTCAACCTTTTAATCATGCATTTAAATATCCTTAAGGATATTTAATATTTGATACTATTTTTTTTACTTTATTTAAGGTTGAACGTGCCAAGCCTGTGGAAAAGAGGAATTCAAGAAGAGTCAGTTTTGCCCCTGCCAACGATGTTCTCCTGTTTTCAAAGTGAGACAACACTTGAGTCTTTTAAATCGTGATTTACAAATACAATTCTGTTTCATCCCTAATCAATACTTTATGTTTACAGGGATGTGAAAAACCCCTCCCCTGGTCGGAGTCCTTTACAAGAATTAATGACAGCAAGTATGTATTGTATTTTTATTAGATTTTTTTTTTTTGTGCAACAAATTTTTGATTTAAACAGCTTTGTAATATTTGTCCTGTTTTATTCTCCAGCAGGGGCAATCGCACAAAATAGGTAAGATGACTCTGTCCTTTCATGCTTTACCCATTCAGCTGTATTTCAGATGATGATTTTAAATTTGTCTTATTTTATTACACAAGGGTCCAGGTGGTTGTTGCTGAAGATGGGATTCCACAGACTACAGGTAAGGGTTTTTTGTACTTGAGACAACAATTAGTAAATGCTCTGAAGATATATTTGCAATTTAAATGGACGTTACTAAATCAAAATCTCCAACTTTAGCTATGGAAACCCTCTTGAATGCTCCTCTACATGCCTCTCAACAGGATAAGGTGGGCTTGAAGTCACTTTCCTCTATTTCTTTGCTTTTCTATAGCTACAGATCATTTTATAGCATTATCATAATTATGTTATTATAATGCATCATAAGACGATTATATGCTGAACAGATTCAATGTAAGAAGTTGTTCATTGACATAAAGGTTATTAACGTCACCAGGTCGGCTTCGACACAGTGGAAGGCTTTGGGGAGAAAACAGTGGTGTTTTCCACAGATGATGCCTTCATGGACATGACCCACAGTCAAACTATGATCTTGGCCAGTTATGCAGATACTTCCCTCCAAATCGGTGACGCTTTCCCCACTGGAGAGAAAAAAGTGATGTTCCCTGCAGATGATGCATCCATGGATACTGCCCTAAATCATACCGTGAACATGACGAACGCGTCACTTCTCCCCGGCAGAAAGAAGGATTTAAGTGTCAAGAGAAACATATCCTCCTCAAGTTTGGATCAAGGTTTTGAAAACTTCCTGGCAAGTCTCTCTAAACCAGGGGGTCCCTCCTCTTTGGCCACTGTTGAGACAAACAACTCCGTAGCTCATATTAAAACACAAAAGGCTAATGTGGACAAAGAGAATCTGCTCCCAACGCCCGTTTCAGCCATGATGGAGAAGTCACTCAATAAACCCAGGAAGTCAGAGGTATCATCTTATGGACTCTGTCCAGACGTGGATGTTAGCATGAACTTGACTGAGGTTCAAACGGGACGCATACTGGCGGTCACAGATGATGATAATCCATTTCAGTGTCTTTTCCCCACACAAGACATGTACGCCCACTCCAACAAAAGAGAATCCCAAACAGCGGAAGTGATGCTGATCAAGTCTGAAGACAGGAGTCAACAGATGCCAGGTATGTTTGGGGATTTATGTTTCTGTGTCTATTCAGGCACAGTCCAAAAGTCTTAAATCCAAAAGATTTTTATGTCTAATAATTGCATCTCTAAGATTGTTAAATTTTTATTTACAAATTTAGAAATGGCATCCATGAAGAATCCTTCTCTAAATGCTTCTTATCCAAGATGCAAGGTGAGTGAAAGTAATTCTTTATCAGGAGTTTAAATGAGCCGAGTGATCAGATTTTGAAGTATATAAATATGAGTCGCAGTTATCGGTGTAAATTGTATGTTTTTTTTTTTATGCCGGTTAAAGATTACACTTGAAAGCAACTTTTCAGTGAGTTTATGGTAACAGTGATTTTTCATCTTTAGGTCAACTTTAATGCCAGAGACGAATACACAGATAAAACAATAAGATTCACTGAAGATGAAGAGTTTATGGACATGACTCAAAGTCACACCGTTGGCATTGCCCGTGGTCCATTGGCTCCTCAGCAAGTGTCCCCACAAGGTTTGGATTCAGGATTTAAGAGCTTCCTCACAGGTCTCTCAAAGCCGACTGTCCCCAGTGTTAATCCTGTGATTGAAAGAGTGGTACCCTTGGCTGCAGCATCCTCTCAAAAAACTGTCAACATGAACAGATCCTTGTGTGAGTTAAAAACACCACTGCCTGATGCAGGCAAAGAAAATTGGTCTCTGAATACAAGCCGGAGCTGTAGAGAATCCTCTAATGGGGGCGAGATCTGTCCAGATACTGACGTGACCATGGAAATGACTGAAACTCAAACAGGCCACATTTTCGGAAACGATGGCTCAGACGATCCTTTTCAGTTTCTGTTCCCCACACGAGACATGTATCCACACAGTGAAAATCTGAAGAAAGCAGAGATGACTTCAGGACAGAAGAACAGTAAAGTACTGGGGTCATTGAAACATGCTGGTCTTCACACCCAGGATAAGTCTGACCCTGAAGACGACCACAGAGAGAGGACAGTGAGGTTTTCTGCAGATGACGCCTGTATGGATGTGACACGAAGTCACACTGTCAACATCGGCACTGACTTCAGTCACAAACATTTGGGCTCTTTGTCTTCTCGCAGAGATAAAACGATAAGGTTCAGTGTAAACGATGCAGGTATGGACATGACCCAGTGCCTCACGGTAAATATTGCCAATAATTTAGGATCAGATTCAATTCTTCCTCCTGAGAAGAAACAAGAAAGTGAGAAACGTGGTCCACTGAGAGACAGATCTTCATCAGCACACGGTTTGGATCCAGAATTAAATAGTGTCCCCAGAGTTGATCCTGTGATTGCGAGAACGACGTCTGCACCTTTGTCTGACGTGAYAGACTCATCTGATGGACGCACAATCTGCCCCGAGGATGATGTCAGCATGGATATGGATATGACTGAGGCTCAAACAGGCCGGATTMTAGGAATCACACAAACAGAAGATCCTCTTCAGTGTCTTTTTCCGCCACAAGACTTCTACCTTCAAAGTGGTAATCTGAAGAAAGGAGAGATGACGTCAGGACACAAGAGCAGTGAAGCACTGGGGTCATCTGACCGTACAGGTAAACCCCCACCCTGCAGTTTGTTTAGAGAAAAACTAACATTTGTACCAGAGACAATGGTGTAAACTATGTTTTTTGTATCATAAAACCTGTATTTTGTGCCGTATTTCAGATTATTTCTGAATGTGGAAATTATAGCTTTGATTGCGTTTGCTAATTTGCTTTTTATTTAATTCCACATTAGGTATGGGAACCTCATTGAAGTCATCTTTAAAGACAAAGGAACAACAACATCAGGTGGGCATAATATTCTCCGCAAACTGTGTATTTCAAATTAAGTGAAACTATTGCAGTGCCAGTTTGGAATGGACAGTTGAATTGCTCTGTGGTTATGCCGGATGCAGCTTTCTTTGTGAAAATGTAAAAGTGATCTGCAGTAATTGAGCCGCAGCAAGTAAAGACCTGCTGAAAACTATGTGAAGCTGCCTCTGCACAAAGAGCTGTTCACCTGTTTATTCAAAGTTCAGTGAAAGTCGACTCTACGCAGAACCCCAAACTGCTAAATCGGTTGTTGTTACCATTGTCGTAAATGCGCTGTTGTCATGATGGACAACGTCACTGACATTGAGTCCCAGTCACCACTGCTGCAGTGCAATAGTCACCTGTTTATACTATTAATCTTTTTTAAATCTAAAGTATTGCTTTTCTAAATCTCACCAAATTCTAAACTGCACTTCCGTGGGCCTTTAACACGTCACATGCCAAGTATGAAGCTGATCAAATGAACAGTTCTTGTGATGTGTGAGCCATTCTGATTATTGTTTTCTTCTTCACACCCAGGATAAGTCTGACCCTGAAGACGACCACAGAGAGAGGACAGTGAGGTTTTCTGCAGATGACGCCTGTATGGATGTGACACGAA